CCCCCCCTCTTTCTCTCTCTCTCTTTCTCACTCACTCACTCTCCATCCCTCAATCACTCTCTCCCTCTCCTTTCGGAAGCCTAGTTGAGTTTCATTCCCACATAAAAAGGCAATTTGTCCGAAAGATTAATGCTGGTTTTATCTTACAGTTTCTCCTCCGAGGCTGGCAAGCGTACAGCGTAACCACGGACTTGAGGACTTTTTACTTCAGAAAAATACTGGATCTTGTGTTTTATTGGGCTATTATTTAATTCGGGGTTTTTTCACGTCCGACAAATTATCTTGTTTTTGCTGTTTCCTTCTTTTTTTGTTTCATTTTAGTTTTGCACGATTTCCTTGTTTCTCCAGATTTATTTCTCTAAAACTCAAAAAGCTACGATGATCTTTTGTTCATTGGTAGAGTCGCGGGAGACACAATGTTGGGAGTGATGCAAGAGGGGAGGAGGGGAGGGGGTCTGATATGAAAGTATTATGATCAATTTATTGCTGTATTTTTCCAATGTAATTAGACAAACACATTATCCCTTTTCACTATTTGCATCCATACACAGTAGTTGTTTATGTGGCTTTCTATTTTTCCCTTATGGTCTACCAGAATGGGGATGTATTGCGACTACAAAAGGCATCTTCAAATTGATGTTGTTCGAGTCTATAAATAAAGCATGTTTAACCTGTCTGATGTTCTGGATAATGAGAAACAAATAATTATCAATCGAAAGATAGATAGATAAATCGGCAGAGCTAGAATGCACGCTATATAGTATAAGTAGAGAGAAGCACCAACCTTCAGACAAACTGTGAGAAAGAAAATTTAAGATAGAAAAGTACGGACAGCGGGAAAACGAATAAAATATCATAGACAGTACAGAGGAGAGGTAATGATGCAGTGTGGATAAGTTAGACAAAAAAGTTGATTACGCTGGTTCTGTGGGCACTAGCTCAACTGTGATCAGTGTATAATCATGACAGAAGCAGCCTCTTAAGTATTATTTCAAGTCAACAGTGTCCCCCACCCCCAAATAGCCCCCTCTAAAAACCACACAAAAAACCAAAGAGAGGAGGAATGTGTGGAAAGAGAATGGAGAGACAAGGAGAGGGGGAGAGAGAGAGAGGGGGGGGGGGGGGGGGTA